GAAAATTTTTTAAACATCTTTATTGGAGTATAATTGCTTTACAGTGGTGTGTTAGTTTCTGCTTTATAACAAAGTGAATCAGCTATACATTTACATACATCCCCATATCTCCTCCCTCTTGCGTCTCCCTCCCACCCCTCTAGGTGGTCACAAAGCACCAAGCTGATCTCCCTGGGCTACGCGGCTGCTTCCCACTAGCTATCTATTTTACATTTGGTAGTACATGTAATTCCATACACATACGTTTTTATTTCTTTTGGAAGCTGGGTCATATGAAAAGTATAACTTTTTTTAACACCAAGCTGATCCCTGGGCTACGCGGCTGCTTCCCACTAGCTATCTATTTTACATTTGGTAGTACATGTAATTCCATACACATACGTTTTTATTTCTTTTGGAAGCTGGGTCATATGAAAAGTATAACTTTTTTTAACTTTATGAGAACCTGCCAAACATTTTCCCAACCTGGTTGTACCATTTAGCATTTTTACCAATATGTATGAGACTCCTAAGTTGCTCCACAGTCTAACCGACATGTGGCACTATCAGTATTTTAAATTTTATTTCATCATTCTAGTGGGTATGTAGTGGTAAGTCATCGTGCTTTTACTTTAGAATTGCCCTAATGACTACAGGTGGAGAGTTTTTTCGTATGTTAGTTTACATCTCTGTATCTTCTTTTATGAAGTAACTGCTCAAATCTTCTGCCCATTTTTAACTGACTTGTTTTCTTATTATAGAGGTATGAGAGTTCTTTATATATTTTGAAAATATTTTTCCCAGTCTATGACTTGCCTTTTTATTTTCTTAGAAGCGTCTTTTTAAAAAGTGTTAATTTTGATGAAGTCCAATTTGGTTTCTTTTATACACCGTGCTATTTGTCCCTTACTTAAAACAAACAAACAAACATTGCTTAGCTCAGGTACACTAGAACTTTTTCCACTGTTTTCTTTAAGAAGCTTTATAATTTTAGTTCCTGCATTTAGGGCTAGGATCCATTCTGAACTGACATATGGATATCTAATTACTCCAGCACCGTTTAGTGAAAAGCCTGTCCCACCGCTATTGAACTGACTTGGGTCTTTTGCTGAAAACTGACTGATGACACGTGTGGTCTATTTCTGGACTCTATTCTATTTCATTGATCTACACGTCTAAGTTTACACCAGTACCACAGAGTCCTGATTACTGTAGCTTTATAGAGGTCTTAAAATAAGGTAGTCCTGCAATTTTGTCCTTCTTTCTTAAAATTGCTTTGGCTTTTGCAGGCCCATTGTGTTTCCATTTCAATTTTAGAACTAGCTTGTCAATTTTAACTTTTTAAAAAGCCTTCTGGGATTTTGACTGGGCTTGCTTTGAATCTATAAATCAGTTTGGGGAGAACTTACACCTTAATAATAGTGAGTCTTTGGATTCAGACGTATGATACATCTTTCCATTTATGAAGTTGTCAATTTCTCTCAGCAATGTTTTGTGGTTTGCACTGAACCTATATGGCCCCCCTTTTAATACATTTTTCAAGCTGACCCTCCCTACCCCTTCTCCAGGCAGCCACCGATCTTTTGATCACTAAAGATTAGTTTGTGTTTTCTATAAATGAAATCATAAAATATGTTCTCTTTTTCATCTTGCTTCACTCATTCGGCATAATTATTTTTAAATACAACCATGTTGTATGCATCAATAGCTCATCAATTTATTACTGAGTAGTATTCTATTGTATGGATATACCACAATTAGTTTATTCATTCAACTTTTGATAGACTTTTTTTTTTTCCCCCTCCAGATTTTGGCTTTTTACAAATAAAAGCTGCAAGTACAAATACTAATACTTGTATTAGCGCACAAGTATTTGTGTATACTTATGCTCTTATTTCTCTAGGGTGAATCGCTGTGAGGAGAACGGCGGGGTCACATGGTAGATATATGTTTAACATTTTAAACTCCAAACTGCTTTCTAAAATGGCTGTATCCAGATTATGGATCACAGTGAAGTGGAAAGGCATGCAGGCCAGAATAACCTGTCTCCTATCTTTCATATGCATGCTGGTAATGAAGATTTATTCATTCATCAAATATTACTGAGTATCTGATGAATGGACTGAATTGGGTTAGGCAAAGAGGATACAGCAATGAATAAGAGAGCTGTGGTTCTGTCCCTATGGGGCTTACATTCTAGAAGAAAAGCAGACACTAAACAACACACTTCACAATTACTTGCTCACAAAGAGGTAGAGTGCTCTAGTCTGGAGGCTTTCTGGAAGCTTCTTTTGATCTGAGTGCTGAAGGGTGAAGAGCAGTCAACAAGACAGATACGATCCTAACACACTGTGATCACTGTGACGGAGAGTAGTTCTGGGCTCCAACATAACCTCCCAGGACATACATTTTTGTTAACTGATTTGTTTATTCACTTAATCCGTCAAGCTTGCATGAGAATAATCCTAGCCTTTGGCATAAAAAGACAAGATTTAGGAGCACCATCTTCTGTCTTCCGATTCAATACAAAACTGGGTACTCTCTCCCTTCTGAATGATGGAAACAACCATCAACCTTCCTCACGAATCAGCAGAATCATGAGAATGACAGCAGCAGTCGTGGTAGCAGCTGCTAATGCGGTATCTCATAAAGAGCAGAAGAGCATACACTGCCCACCACCCAGAACCCAGAACGGGTGCTTCCTGAGCGCTGTCCATGTGGTGGTGCTACACAATCTTATCTAATGTACGTGACAACCCAATGAAGCAGATACCGTTAGTCCCATTTTATATAAGAGTAAACTACAACCCAGAGAGATTACATAAGTTGTCCATGGTGACAGAGTAGAAACCTGGGCCCAGTACTGTCCTAACTTTGTTCATTATATTAATTACTATACAAGAAATAACTTTACAAAGTTACCCTAAAGCACTAGTGGTAGGGATGCCTGAAAAATATATTAGTTTTCCTAAGCAGCAAGGTAATTTAGTGATGGACAAGGGATATGCTGATGGTTCTGAGGACTACTTTTGAGGACCAGTAGTCTTTGACGTGGTAGAAATCCTCAGGGAAGACAGTATAGTGTCACACAAACTTGAATTTAAACCCCAACTCTTCCACTTATTTAGCTGCGTGACTGCAGGCAAGTTATCTAACCTTGCTTAGTCTCAGTAAAGAAGGTGAAAAACAATAACTGCCTTGCAGGTTTGGGAAAAGATCATTAATGTATGTAAACACCCAGTAAAATTGATAGGAACATAGTAAGTTGTATATAGACAGTAGTTAGGAAAGTTGTCCCTTTCATAGCATCTGGAGAAGATCCCAATTACTGGAGATGAGGGGTTCCCCTGCCCCCTACTCCTCTGATACAAATTACTTCTTTAGAGGTAATGTGGAGTAAACACAGGGCATCAGAGGAAAGAGGTGAAGATTCAAGCTCAGTCCCTCCGGGTTTTGCACTTCATCTCATCAACACATTTTTTGCTGCTTGAAACGAACTCAAGGTTGAAAGAGATCCCAGGTTTCAATATTAATGAGATCCCAAGATTTCAACTCAAGGTTGAAAGGAATTCATCTAGTCTATCTTCCGTTTATTAGACCATTTAGACCAACTGAAATATCAAAGAGGTAGCACTCTGTCCATCTTGGCTACATCATTTGGAACGTTCCCTTTTTCAACCTTCCTTTTACCACAAAAATAAACACATGGGTATAGTTTGAAGCCATTACATGCAATGGAGAGAAAACACTGGCAGAAAAACTGGTTTTGCCATGAGTTGCCTACTTATTACTTAGAGGAATAAGTAGGTAATTTGATAGTGTATGAAAAATCATCCAACACCCTAGACGTGATGATACGAAAGAAAGACACCAATATGAATAGAAATCAATCCAGAAAGATGAGTGTATGTTTTACTAGCTAGTCTCATGCCTTTCACTGGCCAGTAATGACATCGACCAAGGTATCACACATCAGTCTATTTCACAATTTCTTTTATACGCAATGGATACATAAATATATTTTATATATATAGTAAAAACCTGGGAAAACTTGAGCTTTTAATTTTTGGTGGTGGCAGTGGTGGGGGGATTCCTATTTCTTCCCCTGAAAATCCACTTCTAATTTAAGGCTTAGAAAGTAAATTTCTATAATAAATATATGTATCACATATTGCTTCATTAGATAAAATTTCATGATTTCTTAGAACCTCAAATTTAACAAATCCTAAAAATGGTTACCTCTCTCCCAAAGACAGGATGACTACAGGGGAAAAACTTCCCCGCTCTCCCCTGTGCCAGCTGTAGCTAATTGATTTGTACACTCTGTTTTGCTTGGGTCTGATACCACCATTACACCCCCGCAGCCGCAGGCCTCAGCCTGTCGCCATCATGCATCTCGTGTACATCCTCCCTGACAGGACTCATCAATTCCTACTGCTTTTCACCAGGCCTCAGCTCTGGCACTTTCCCCTGGGGAGACCTTTACTGGTCTCCATACTTAACCCCTGAACCCAGTCTAATCCATCAGCCACATCGAATGAATGGTGATAGAGAATGTTTCTCCCCAAAGACAGGCAACCAGCCTCTCCACTTAAAACTCAGAAAGAAAGCCATCAACAGGGTCTGCTTTCTGTTTGTCAGTGTCGCCAGCTTCTTCGCTTATTGATGTTTTTATTGTTGCTGTGCCCAGCTGCTTGAGTCGGGGAAGTGGTATTCAAGGAGACATCAATTAAAGTGCTTGTTAAACGTCATAGATGCTCTTTTGAAAATGTCCCCTGGGACTCTCCCTGGGAGTTCCCAAAACTGGTGGATGGCACAGTTGTCATTTTGGAATAGGGTTTCCCCAAAGTCCTAAAGAACAGCTTCATAACCTACACTCCTACGCACAGCTTTTGGACGCTACTAGAATTTAGAAATTACGACTTTACAGAATGAAATATAACACTCTTTATTCGGAAAGACAAGCAATAATGGGCAACAACTATCCAAAAATGTAAATGCACTGTTTGAAACCTCCTTACCTCATAACCGAACTGCAGCTCATCAGAGGTCAGCATAATGATATCGTCGTCAATAGCCAGAACGGCCTCCGTCTCGATTTCATCGTAAGGGAAGAAACGGTTACTCAACTTGTTTTCAGCAGTTCTTACAACTTTTAATGGAACCCGGATTTTGGGCCACAGAGAATCTGGAAAAAGAAAAACCAAGGTATTTATTACTCTCCTAACTTCTGTGAGGAGATAAACTGGTGAAAGCATCGCATCACAAATGAGACGGAAGAATCAACTCACATCCATGACTCATGAAATCCACACGCACAGCTGTGCAAGGAGAAACTCTTATAGGTGCGTTTTTATAATAGCCTACATTGTAAATACTTCTATCCTCTCTACATCCCTACAACACTACTGATTCTCAATGTTGTCTTAACCAGAATCCACAAAGTGGCTTCAACTCACAACTGAGAGAGAGAGGAGCAAAACGACTTGATGAAGGTCACGGTGATGAGAGGACGAATGGGCTCTGGACTGCCTCATGCTCAGGCCCGTAGTTTGAACACCAGGACTCTACCACCTCTGCACAATCCTTCCAGGTAGGTACACCCTAGCTCAAAACCTGCCTGCAGCTCTGCTGGGAAATACACGTGCTGAGGACAAAAGCGCCTGCCCCCATCACGCCATCACCAACAGCTCCCAAGGCTGCCAAATCCACCCTCACAGAACTGTGGCCCTGAAGGAGTTCAGCTTTCCTAACTTAGCACCTTACCACCTCGACAGCCCTGCTCTCCTGACTCACTGGGTTTGGTTTCTCATTATGATCAATTTACAGAGTAAATATCGAATATCTAGGTCCAATTACATGGGATTTTCTGGCATACTGAAGAAACACAAACTCATGACTTGCCTTACATTTTTCCCATTCTACTTTGAAATGACTGAAGCAATTTAACCTCAGCTTCCTTATTTTAAAGCGTTGTGTTTAGCATAGCATGAAATTAATACTTCTTCAATACAGGACCCACATCCACAGACCTCAGTGTTCTTTACAGAGGGCAGTTTGTTCTTCACGCAACAGTTGTCAAATGAGAATAGAAAAGGTATCATACTGCTTCCAAAAACCCAACACGTAATTGTGGGAAGGTCTAGTTTTTGTGAGTCTTGAAGCCCCAAAATGCCTGTGGCCACTCCAGAGTCACCATACTGAAGGAGAAGTGTGACAGAGGGAAAATCAGCAGGGAAAAAAACCTGTCTTAACTGACTGCAGATAAAATCTCTTACGCATAATTTACAATACATCCATGTAACACGTTGGGGTGCTCCAAGGGTCTTAGAAGAGGCAGCCCCAAGGGCAGCTTCCCAGCAGGTTCTGTAGACACCCCAACATGCTTCCCAGTGAGGCCGACAGCTCCTCTGCAGGCAGCTTTCCAGCAAGTTCTGCAGATACCTTCAACAGCAACTCCGACAGTACCCCAGCTGGCCTGATAACACCCCCTGGACAACTTTCTGTTGAATTCCACGGGTATCCAAGGGGCTGCTGGTTTCTTGTTTGCCAGTCTTGGCCTGTGGCACCTGAGAACCTTCACCATGCAGTGGGCTGCAGCCACCCTGTCTCCAGCCAGGTCTGAATGTCAGACCTAGCTGGGGAAGAGGCTCTCCCAAGTTTATTTCCTGTAATCCTTAGAGAGCTCTTTTTTACCGTTTAGTCACCAATCTCCTATTCCTAGTTAGTAATTATTTATATTAAACTTTTCCTGTTCAAGTTACTGTGTGGTTTCTGTCTCCCACCTGGACCTTGACTAACACACTAGGGATATCAGATGAAAGGGGAATTGTTTTCAATGGCCTCTGAAGATAGAACCATGACCAATGGCTGGGTGGAAGTTACAGGGAAATTGATTTAAACTCTAAATAGGTAAGAATTTTCTGATGCAATGAAATGCCTTCAGCAACACAATGTGCACTTCTATTTGAAATGCACTAACTTTAGAGACCAACAAGATGCCTCTGAGGTCCTAGGACTGTATGGACAGTAACACTGCACAGAAAGAACAGTCTCTGGAAAGAGCTTCAAATCTCAGGTGTATCCCTTACCAGCTATGTGATCTTGAACAAGTCAATCACTTTCTACCTGTTTCTTTGACTGTGAAGATGGAAGAGGAACACCATCTTCACATGTGAGAAGGTGTGAGGATGAACGGTAACGCATTTAACAGCACGGTGCCCGGCACCTAGCAGACATCCACTAAGTGTCAGTTGTGCTTTCCCTTGAAAGTCTGAGTCTATTTACAGACCAAAGGATATTTTTGAACCTGAGGTAGTGGTGGCAAAGTGGTACACATCAGATCTGGTATATTACTCTGACAATCCAGGGGCGTGTCCTCAGCATGTATCTTCAATGTTTACTTTGAGAGGAACAGAATCCCTGCCATTAATCCTCTGGAACTGAGAAAACCTAACACACTAGCGGAACAAAAGAACATGGAACTTTTGCCATGTTAATTTCACAAGGCAACAAACAGCCCCTCTTTCTGCAGTACGTATAGAAAACAGGCTAGCTGCCTGTTTAGACGTTCCTCCACCCTGGATGAGATCGGGACTTGCACTTGGGGAGTGTGCACAGCATGATGGACAGCTTTCCACATTCTTTGCCTGCATATATCCTAAAATTACTTGAGACAATGTCCATAAAGAACTAACCTACCTCTAGAAAGTCTTTGATGGGGAAGTTTTAGAAGGTGATGAAGGCCAAAGAGGATGATACGGGGTGCAGATGGGAATGCAGAATGAATCATGGCTTTTTTGGAAATGCGATTACCTCTTCCTGTTCTGGGTTGGGCCTGGATAGCCAAAGGCAGCTTTGGCAAAAGGAGTCTCCATCTCAATGGTCCAGCTGTCTATGAACCATCGTTACTACAAGACGGGACTTCAAGTAGAATTCCCAGTTTCTTGTTTTCACATTTTTTTTTTTTTTTTTTGGCGGTACGCGGGCCTTTCACTGTTGTGGCCTCTCCCGCTTTGGAGCACAGGCTCCAGACGCACAGGCTCAGCGGACATGGCTCACGGGCCCAGCCGCTCCGCCGCACGTGGGGACCTTCCAGACCCGCTGTGGCCTCTCCCGTTGCGGAGCACAGCCTCCAGACGAGCAGGCTTAGCGGCCATGGCTCACAGGCCCAGCCGCTCCGCGGCGCGTGGGATCCTCCCGGACCGGGGCACGAACCCGCGTCCCCTGCATTGGCAGGCGGACTCTCAACCACTGCGTCACCAGGGAAGCCCTTGTTTTCACATTTTCAAATAAAATAGGCCTCTAAGAAAAGGAACTACCTTTCTCTTGGGCTTTAGCATCCCTTCTGTGGAATACAGGGATAAGAGGGCAGCAATCAAAGAATAAGCATTATAATTCTCCCTGCCCTAAAGCAGATAATTTTGATATGGGATTTTGATTCTGTTTAAAAAAATAGGGGGACTTCCCTGGTGGCGCAGTGGCTAAGAATCCGCCTGCCAATGCAGGGGACATGGGTTCGAGCCCTGGTCTAGGAAGATCCCACATGCCGCAGAGCAACTAGGCCCATGTGCCACAACTACTGAGCCTGCGCGCCACAACTACTGAGCCCCCATGCCACAACTACTGAAGCCCGCGCGCCTAGAGCCCATGCTCCGCAACAAGAGAAGCCACCGCAATGAGAAGCCCGCGCACCGTAACAAAGAGCAGCTCCCGCTCGCCACAACTAGAGAAAGCCTGCACATCACAACAAAGACCCAATGCAGCCAATAAATTAATTAATTAAAAAATAGGACAGGAGCGTGAGGTAGGAAAGAAGAATATAGGTGAGAGAGAATAGAGTTTTTTTTTTTTTTTTCTTTCTTTCTTTCCAATAAGTATTTTCAAAAGAATAGATTTACTCTTCTGCCTCTCCTTGAGCCCCTGATAAGGACCTGGTTCATCTGCATAATCCCAAATTAGAGAACTGACAAAGCCTGATGATTTTCTGAGCGCTAAATGGCAATCTGAATAGATATAGTGGGGCCTAGTGCACAGCGCATGAGCTTTGGATCCAGAGAGACCTGTGTTTATGTCTGGCTCTGCCATTTTGCAGCTCTGTGATTGAGGCAAATTACTCAACTAATCTGAGCTTCACTTTTGTAAAATGGGAAGAATAACAGCTTCCTTGCAGGTCTGTCACAAGGAGTAGAGATAATACGTGTAAAGCACTTAGCACAGTTCCTATTGCTTGGATATAAAAGGTACTCAATACATGGTTATAATAACGCTGCATCATTCTCATCTTCACAAATGGATTCTTGTAAAGTCTAGGAACTTCACCTCCCCTCTGACAACTTGAAGAGGTGTAGACAGAAGAATATGGGGTGACTCCTTAGGGTGCAGAAGGAAACAGTGTCACAGCTAGACACCTTCAGCCTCTTGCTACACTGCTTATCCCAGATGGGCTCTTTTACTTTACTTCTTGAAATTCTAAATGGAACCACATGAATTATAGCTTGTGTCTCATCCTGTCAATCTGTAGCTGGCAAACAGAAATGTCACCTTCCATTCACACAAAGTAGTCTGAAAAATAAGAATTCTCAAAAACATTGCCAAATTTATGAAAAACAAACAGCTGAGCCAGCTGACCTGATAACTTTACAGTTTTGAGCTTTAGTCCAGCTTGAAGGAGAAAAAGAACTCCTCGTGTTAAGGATTTTTTAAAAATGTGTACCGATTAACAGTTTTCTCCAAGTTGGTTGCCAAGAGCCACGTGAGCAAGAATTCTCCAACTCTGCCAAGGTACTACACAATGTTCAGGTTGCCTGACGATGACCCAAAGCCCATCCTGGTGATCACTGTCACAAACACAACCACAGATCCACAAACTAAATGATCAGATTATCTCCATACAAATCTTGAGCCCCCTCCAGGAGTGCTAGAGCTGCCTGGTGTACAGCTGGTTCCCATGACCCTCACTCCCCAGGTCCCAGAATTCAGCTCGAAGGAAGACAGCTGCTGCTTCTGCCTCTCGCTTGCCTCTTCCGAGGTGACCATGCTGAAATGCTCAGCCGATCCCATCCTGCCTGTTAAGAACTGTGAGAGTCCCAACCTGCAGCTGGGGTCGGGATGGGGGGTTCTTGGAGATCAACTCAAATTTAAAACTGAAATCAATTAAAACAGAAGAGGCTGAGTTAAACCTATCTGAAATGTACAACGTAGCAGCTTCCTTCAGACCGCGGCCAGGGGCCAAGCCTAATAGCCTTTACACCCATCAAGCCTGGGAACTAAAGAGCCAGGGAGAAGGAAGGCAGTGGCTTGCCCTTTCTTCTGACAGAGCTCAAAACCAACGTGACGAAAGCTCGCTGGAAATTTCTATTGCCTAGTCTAAGTATTTACTTGAACTTCAAATCCAGCAATTTAGATTTAAATGTAACCAAAAAGAAAAAAGTATTTGGTTGGGTTGGAGAGTGAAAAAAAAAAAGGCGGGGTGGGGGAAGGGGGCAATTTCTGCCTACACTAACCCTCCGAGCAGCAGGCATGTTAGCCACAATATTTATTCTAGTAAATGTAGAGAGAGCGGAAAACATCACTTTTGCCTCTAATATTTCAAAGCCTTGGACTTGCTTTTTAAAAAATATATATGTTACTAATGCCGTACATGAAAAATCAGATGCCTCTGCTGGCACGAGGGCCAGAGCTGACAGCCGCATTCACCAACTGAACCAACACCCCACAGAAGATTAAACATGGTTCATGTTCTCCCTTGACAACCACGTCACCAGAGCTGGAGCCCTGACCTAAAAAACACTGTTAGAGAAAAGCTGGTCCAGTCCCTAACCGTGTCAAAATTAGGGCCTCATCAGTTGAGGGCTGTCTTTCCTCCCTAGAGCCAAAATATTTCAAAAATAAACTAAACTCTTGGCCACAGAATTAACCACTACACTTTACTAGGGTGTACCAAAAATTAAAACTGAACACCCAGCTCCAAAACCTAGGTTTGTCCTCTTGCTTTTAGTTATGCCAATGTAGGAGCTTAGACCAAGAAGGAAGAAAAAGATTTCTCCTTTCTCGTAGTTTGTAATGATACTTGCCCCAAAGAAGTGACTCAAATTTACAATAAATGATTCACCTTAAGCCCGAAGTGGCTAATGAAGTTTTCTAAGGACAGAACTGCGTATATGGGCAGGAGGGCGGGGTGAGGGTGGAGGCTCTCTGAAAGCTGGTGGCCTCCGCGTGCAGGAGCGTGACTGCAGCATATGACACAGAGCTGTTCCGCGTCCCACGAGGGACATGCAGCCTTCCTTCTGAAAACACGACCTCTCCTTTATAAATGAAGAGACGAATGAGCAACGCGGTACCTCCGATCCCCCTCACTCTGGTGGACCAGGGACTCCCATGACCATCCCTGCGCTGCTCCTTTTGTCCCGTCCTCCTCCCTTTCGCCCTCTTAGATGGCACCTGGTGCCAACACCTTTTCTTTTTCTTCTACCCCTTTCTTCCTCCTTTATTGAGAGTCAAAAATAAATAAATAAATAAGATCCAGAAACGTTGGGAGGAAAAAAACTTGGCATAAAAGATAGTTAATAATAATAATACAAAAGGCAGTGTGCTTCAGGGCATACTATTCATTTAAAATAGCTACTTTGTTTACTAAACTGTGGCTCTCTGAATATAAAAAGTAAGTATTGATTCTCTCAGAGAACAAAAGTTCCACCAAGTAAAAATTTTTAAATGTCTTAGGAGGACATTTAAATCCTGATTTGCCTCAGACAGACAGACATCCTTCTCCCAGCCTAGACTATGGATCTGCTACCGGGAGTCTCCAGGGTTGACTATCCTGACTTCAGTATAACCAATTAAACAAGAACAGCCATAAAAAGTGCAGATACTACTGTCACGCAATAAACTAGACCTTATCGGTGATAGTGGTGCACATTACAAACTTCAAACTCATTCCTTGCTCTAATCCATCAGAAACTTCCTGGCTTTAATAGGCTATAAAGGGCAGGAGCTTTGAAGTCCCTGGGATTAGGATCAGTAATAGACGGACTGAATGAGAAACAAAATGCAGGTGGAACGTACTCTATGCGTCCTGAATTAAAAACAAATCCAGTGAATCAAACAGCCCTCAACCCTAGCTGCCAGATTACGGGAGTGGCTAAGGCAAGCAACAGAGACATTAAGGATGAGCCGGTGGGAACTTCCAGAGAGGGCTCACTTTAAGGAACTGATTCAAGCCTGGGAGGGAGTGCCTTGCTAACTTTCCCCATCGGAGGTGAGGCCGTTCTTTTCTTTTCGAAGAAGAGCACAGTATCGGAGCAGAGATAAGGAAGGAGAAAACTAATGCCTTTTAAACTGAGTTTTCATGTAAACAAATCAGCTGAGATGGCTGAGGGAAGCTGAGATCTGTTTTCCCAAGGCTGATGGCCTTTGATCCTATTGATTCCTAAGCCCTCAAACACTTGTGGCTACAGAGCATGCCATGGGCTTAGAGTTAAACGGGCCACCCTAGAGCAAGGATGGGATGATTGAGAAAACCAGGGTCATGCTGTCTCAGAAATGGCATTACTGCTGACAGAGCAGGAAAATTCATTTTAAACCAAAGGATGCAAATCATTTGGCCATCCAAATATCGACCCAGCTGAGGGGTTCGCTAACGCCCAAACCAGGCCTTTCCTGAATGCACTGTCTCCCCTCCCTTCTTACCTTCTGGGGGGTTCTTATTCTGATTATTCCAGACGACCAGCAGCTTGGATAAACTGGGCACCTTGGACACTTCAGTGATGACCCGGAAGAGGCTCTCCACTCGGTCATAGGTGAGGACGATGGCCGTGAAACCTTGAGACTGTGGCGGGATCAGTGGCAGGAGGAAGGGGGCGGTGCCCCCCGCAC